CAAGATTCACTAAGCGCTTGTGAAATGGAACAACTAAACTAACTTGAATCACTCCAATAGGACATCGTATGTGAAACTGACGCACACTAAAAATTTGCATGTCAAATTGTCATGACAACATAAACTATCATGTGCACCGTGGCGTATGATGCACATGTCATGGTGCAAGTGCCACATACTGCAATATGTGGTCTAATTTTGGAAAATTTATTTTTCTGCCTTGTTTTCCTCAAATATGATATATATGCAATCCATATGCTTCCATTGAGCATAGATTCATACTTTTAAATGATTTAGAAATGGTTTTCAAGATTTTGGGATCCCAACTATTTTAAAATATTAATTGCTACATGAGTTTATGTAACATCTCAATTTAAATTTTAATAGTTAATTTGGATAAATAGAAATTTTAAAAAATATTTAGAGGTAAGCATATTAGTAGGAGATGATTATTAAATCTAACTTAGGATATCATTCTAAATTAAAATAAAAAAATAATTAAAAAAATATTAAAATTATTATTATTATAAAAAAAATAAGGGAAAAGGTATTTAAAAAAAGAAAGAAGAAGAAGAAAGTTGGCTTCCTCTTTTGGCGCATGCTCTTTCGGCGCATGATTACTATATAATAATAAAAAAAGAAAGAAAGAAGAGAGAGGAAAGAAGAAATAATAATAAAAATGTGGGACCCACTAATTTTTATAAAAACTCACCTATTTCCTTCATTTCTTCATTTTTCCCTGTGCGGGAGCTGAGGCTGAGAGAGCGTCTAGTTTCGCCGGTGCAGGAGATCTGAGTTTTTAAGGTAAGAGTTTTTAATAGGATATTTAGGGTGTGATTTTAAGTTTTTCAAGACTAAGTAAGTATTTTAAAAAATTTTCTTAGTCATCCTTCCTCTTTTGTTTCTGATTTTATGGTGGTAGAAAATTTAGGATTTAGAAGAGAGATGAATTTATGTTGAATAAATATAGTTTTTGAGGTTGTTAGTAGTATAATAAATGTTCTAGAGTATAAATTTGTTGATGATCTTTAAATTTGTGGCTTATGGATCAAATTCTAAACTAGATCTAAAAATATATGTTGATTTATTGAGGTTTAGATGATTATTTGGGATGAAAAATGAATTATTATGACTATAGGATTATGATTCTAAGCTAGAGATTTAATTTTTAATTTTTGAATATTTTAGGTGCGAATTTATGAAATAAAAAGAAAATTTTGATAATAGAAATTAGTTTAGAAGTTGATTTTTACATTATTAATATTTATTGATAATTAAAAGAGGAGTTAAAAATTTTACTTAATAGTATTAACTCTAGATTTGTATTAAGATTGAGATTAGAAATTATGTAACATATTTAATTCTATTATTAGAATTATTTTATTAGTTTCAAAAATTAAACTAATATTTATAAATAATATGTTATTTGTAGATTGTATTATTGGTGAAGATTGTGGTCGGAGAGAAATTGTAAGGAATAATTTATTGAAAAAGCCACAAGGTAACCATGCTTTTAATTTGTGATTAGTGTTACTTCATGTTAATTGGGTGATTATTGAGAAAATTATGAATTTTGTAATATTATACAATTATGCAATATTGTTATGAATTTTGTTTGATTATTGTGGGAGGTGTTGGGAGATTTGCTATTGTTGTTTATGTGCCACGTGGTACGCCCCTATTGGAGCTCAATAGGTGGCTTGTAAGGGCTCGAGCTAATTACCTTTGGCTGGGTAATTTAGCACCGAGTGAGGGCTACGGCTCGAGGTTAATGGAAGGATATAAGGATGGTTATTTGTGTGTATTGTAATATTTCTTATATTTATCGGAATTATATTATTTTTAATTCTCACTTAATAAGCACACACTTAACTGTTTGTATACACTATCATAAATTGGCTTTGGTTACTAGGACTTTTGAGTCTCATTATGTGGTTAACAATTTTCAAGAGAAGAGCCACGAGTGACACGTGGAGGAGTCCCAGAGGCTTAGTGGCATAGATCCAGTGTCTCTTTTGGGTATTTGATTTATGATTTATAATGTGTTATATTACCAATATTAAGCTTTTTGTTTATTGTCAATTATATGAATATATAAATGTAATCATGCCTTTCAAACTATTTCTATTTTTGGTACACTTTGGATGACTGTAATTTTAATATTTGTTTACTTTGGATTGGTTAAAATGGCATGATTATGAGACCAAATAACTGGCTTGTTTTGAAAATTGACTAAATTAGTTATTTTACTTGTTGGGAGTATAAGGATGGACAAATGTAATTTAGTTTACTTATTGGGAGTATAAGGATGGACAAATGTGATTTAGCCTAATAGCATGTGGGAGGTAAAAATTTAACTGAAATGTTGTATTGTGCGAGTTGAAGCCAATTATAAAATATTTTTATATTGAAATTATTGATATAAAATGTGTTGGGTGGCTGTAACCTAACTATAATTGAGTTAAATTATTTAAAAAAAAATTTGGTGTGTTACAGTTTATGGTAGTCAAAAGTTTTAAGGACTTGTAAATTACCCCTTTATGGTAAGTGTGTTCTAATTTTGTAATGTCAAGAAGGACATCACATGAAATATAGTCTCTTTCTTGGACATGACTGAGTTAGGCAATTCATAGTCTAATCTAGTATAGTTGTAACCTGAAAATTAATATGACTAAACTTAGTTCATAAGATTGAGAGATTAGTCCTGGTAATCCAAGATTCACTTTGCCTTTTTTTTTTGTCCTTTTTTCCTCTATGAGATTCAACAATTTATTTGAACATGATAAACTCAATTAAGTTAATAAAAATACTTATAATCATAAGAAATCTATAACAATCTTCTACAACAACAACTGTAAAATTTTAGTTACAATCCAAATGATTCAAATTCATGACTTCAACAATATGTCTAATCTATATTACAACAACAATTTAGAAGTAAACTAAATTAAAATTATATTAAATAGAAGGGTGAAATGTAAATGAAGGAAATGCTATGTTCAAACTTTAAACTATTTAAATATATTAAAAATAGTTAAAATTATATTAAAATTATTTGATATGACTGGACCAAATAGTCTGAGAGCTTAGTCTCTTGTCCGGTACAATCCGAGAAGTTAGTCTGGTCTCTTTGGTCCTTCAGATCAATTTTTTTACCACATTAGACCAGATCAAACTTGTTCACATTAGACTAGGTTAGACAGGGCAATTGAACTTCTGCACAACCCTACTTTTCATTAAGAGGGGTAATTAGATCATTTCCCATGAAAACTTATCTATAAATAAGTATCATATTCACAAGAGTAAAATGTAATATTATATTCATATGGCCAGAACAAGTAATTCAAGCTAGCTGGGCTTATTTGAATTTCCTAACATATAAAAAAGCCTATATAGTCAAGCCAGACCCTAACTCCTCAAGTTTTCAGACTTATTCGAGTTGGTCTGAATACCTAAATGGTTAGATATTATATTATTTTTTTTCTGATTTTTATTTAATTTCAATTTTTATATTATTTTATAAATAAGATAAATAAGTGAATTTAGGCATTTAGGCTAAGCCCATTCTGATCTAGGCTTGGCCAAGATTTCTTCTAGTTTGGTAAAGAAAATCTTCTAAACTCTCAAACCCAGCATTAAAATTTTTCAAGCTTATTTAAGTTGATCTATCAGGCTTAGTTTAAATTATTGCCTCTATTATGGCCCTCAACTTATATAAAATTTCTTCAAAGATTCTCAGCTGATATTTTCCCATTTTCCTTATATCGTATACATAATCTCACTCTGAATACGATATATCTTTTCTCAAAATATTTTCATGTGAATTTATTTGGTGCAGGTTGATAGCTCTTTACAATCAATTTGGTGCAAGTTAACCTCAAAATAGGACAAATTATTCCCTTTAGTTTGAACCCTAGCCTCTGTTTAACATGTGCGAGTGAATTGTAAAAGAATAATAAGATGAACGAAAATAGGAATAAAAAATAATATGCTTAGTATGCTGTAAATAAGATAATGGGAATGTTTTTTTTTTATTATATATTTGGTAGGGAAGAAATAAAATAAAAATGGAAAAAGATGCCATAACAATTGACCAAATTATTGTTACTAATAAAATAATTAACAAACCTTTCTTTTATATGTGTGTAGCAACAACTTTGACTTACCACACAAAATTCCATCATGAATAGGAATTTTCTTGTGGCTTTCATGCAAAAGGATGTGCGTATGTCACGATATCATTGCAAGGGAAAATTATTCTAAAGAATTAAATTCAGAAAGTTATATATTTTCGAGGTTAAATCTGCATTTACTTTTAAACTATAGATATAACGTTTAGAATCTTAAATTTATTTTTAATATAATATTTTCTTATCATTTAAAAATAGTGCAAGTCCTCTCTACCGTCAAAAAAATTATGTTTGATCAAAAGGTAACAAAATTTATAGAGACTAACCTCAAAATTATAAAAAAGAATCAAAAAATAATAACAGAAAATGATCAAAAATTAAAGATAACGACCCAAAATATTAGAGAAAAGAATTAAGAAAATTTTCTTTGTTCTTTTCTATAATTTTTTAATTAACTAACAATCAAAATTAATGTTTATCATTAATTTTGAGCATATGACAATATTACATCATTTTTTAAAGCTAAAGGGAAATGTTATATCAAAAACAAACTTGGAGTCAAGAAAATTTTTAAACCTATAATTTACACCTTAAAGAAAAATTTGCTATTTAATCTTATTTTCAAAGATATCAAATTTAATAATTACTTAATGCCAATTTATAAATCAAACTGACTGTTTACCACTAAAATACAATGAATTTTACAAGTCAAACGATATCTACTACTCAAACATCACACGAGAATTTATCATTCGCTTAGAAATGAATAACATGAAGCTGCTATTATACTCCTTCACCCCTTTCCTTTGATCACATTTCCAATAAAGCAAACAGCTCGTAGATGTTTAATGCCATATAGAGAGCGCTAAGTGTAGAAGCAAAAAGTAAATTTTATTCATTAAACGTATCTAGCTCTGTTGTAACACTTGGGGATCTTGAAGCTATAATTTGAACACCAAGAAATAAAATGCTATTTCGTATCCGTTCTAACATTTGGGGATCAATCAAGAAGCCTCTTCATGAAAAGCTTGACCTTTCGTTTGGATAGAGAGAGAAATATAGAGAAAGGAAAACACCTAAAAATAATAAAAAAATTATTATTTTTAAAAATTTCCCTCATTTTTTTCCCACTTCTTCCATCCAAACCAAGCTGAGAGTAACCTAGAGTTCTGAGGAGCGATTGGCATATTCTTGAACTAATGCTCCAAATAATGATGGCCTCTGAAGCAACTTGGAGGGTTTATCAAATTCTTTTGCTAGCCCTATAACAGGAAAACATGACAAACTTCAGGATTCTCTACTATATATATATATATATATATCAACTACAACAATTATTACAAATGGCAATTAGGTAAATAGTGAATGACTCAATTAGTTTAGATGCCATAAAATGACTTTACACAAAATGAGGAGATATAGACACACAACATCAGTTCTACTTTCGTGAGACCTACGTGTTAAAAGTAAAGCTCGCTATTATCTATTTATCTCCTTTGCTTTAAGAAACTTTAAAATTCCCTCACTTCAATAAGATCTCAAGTTTCAAGTCTTGTGAACAAAAAAACTATGAAGAGAAAGCTTTCCTCCAATAGGAATCCAACCCAACTCAAATCCAAAATAATTAAGTGCCAATTTGGATGGATCAAATAATCAATTTTGGAAATCAAAACCATGGTTTTATGAAAATGTATCTAAACACCTACATTACATGTAAAAATCAATTATGAACTCAAAATTATAATTTTATGAAAAATAACCAAACGCTCATTATATATGTCAAAATAAATTATAAACCAAAAGCCATGATCGAGTTCACAATTGATTTTGGCATATATAAGGAGTGTTAAGATATATTTCACAAAACCATGATTTTGCCTAATTTTCAATTCTACTAAAAATCATCCTTATTAATCAATTATACTATATGATATAATCAATTATAATAAAAATCAGTCATATTAATTAATTTTTTTTATAATTAACTTTTCCTCACTGATATCCAAACGCACCAGATACATGCTATAGATAGCTTGTTGCTGAAAGCTCAACATGTAATCAAAAAATGGCATATATACCTGCATCGATGACCAGAACTCTATCACAGTCCATGACTGTTGGTATTCTGTGAGCAATGCTAATGATGGTACATGCTGCAAAGTCCTCTCTGATTATCTTTTGAATCACAGCATCAGTTTGTGAATCCACAGAAGCTGTTGCTTCATCCAAGAACAAGAGACGACTTCTCTTCAGCATAACCCTCCCCAAACACAATAATTGCCTCTGTCCCACACTCCAATTCTCTCCATTATCAACCACTGTACAGTTCAATAACATTCCTCATCACTGCAGAGTATAGTTTAAAACTTCAAAGAAACTCTTGAAATGAAATGAATATATCTTTCAGACCTAAAGAGTCCAGTTTCTCAGGCTTGGAAGCTACAGCATCTTTTAGTTGACAGCGTTCCAAGCTCTACAACAAAATCCTTCAAGTTTAGAAAGAAAGCAAATTATCAGCTGCATAGTACATGAGTGTCAAACTGAATGGTTGAATCACCTTCCATATGTCTTCATCTGAATATTGTCCAGTTGGGTCAATATTGCTTCTGACAGTGCCCTCAAAAAGAACAGGTTCCTGGGGAATGATGCCAAAACGAGACCTGAGATCGTGAAGGCCTAAGGCAGTTATGTCGATGTCATCAATGATTATTCTACCTCCTGAAGGTTCAACCAGCCTGAAGAAAACTTGGATTAAAGTTGATTTTCCACTTCCTGTTCTACCAACAACGCCAATCTTGTCTCCCCCACTAATGCTTAAAGTGATGCCTTTCAGAACCAAAGGAGTGTTGGGACGATACCTAACCTGTTTGCCAGAAAATCAAATGATCATTATAGGAAATACTAGTCTTGCTATATGCAGATTGCATGCACACACAGACCAATAACTTGTTTTATAACTAATATATATTTATCAAGTCAATGCATTCAATATATGGACAGTAATCAGACTGCAAATATAATTTCAATGTAAAATATGATCATCTAGGTCATGTGCTAGTTACCTGCAACTCTTTGATATTAACATTGCCGTGGGCAGGCCAGTTCGGAGGAGGAAGGCGATCTTGAATATGCCATGCTGCCTCTGATGGAATTTTTGTGAACTGCTTAATCCTCTCAACAGATACCATTCTGTTCTCAATGAAGCAACTCATGTATATGGCCCAGAATAACACAGCATTCAGGGACAATCCATAAGAGAGCGATAAACCGACATTTTCTACATCATGCAACAAGAAGATCCAATTAAAAATCAATATAATCTAAAATCGCTTCTAAATCATAGAGAGAGATTCACGTTTCCAATAACAACACAGAGAACCCATGTTGGTTTTATTCAATAGAGGATCAAAGTACCTGGCTTTATGATGTTGCTCGGTAATATAATCAGGAACATTGTAGAAATACAAAAGACCAAGCTTCCAAGTAATTCTAAGCGAAAACCCAACCACTCATTGGAACCATTGTTGTGGAAATCCATGCGCAGATTTTCATTCACTCGTTTAACATTTTCTTCACAAAAATTTCTCTGCTTTTTGAAGGCACGGATTGTCATGACCCCTGAAATGCTCTCTGAGAAGTGATGAATAACAGGTGCTTTTGTTATTGAGTCCAAGCGAGTCAACTCACGAGATGATGAAAGGAAATAACCCTGTAAGACCACACCCCCAAATGAATACAATCACAAGTTATCAAGGCAGACAAGATACACATACTTGGGAACATTAGCTATTTGATAAAGAATCATGTCAAGGCAATCATACCATACCCGATACCATATATTCAACCAGATAAGAGGAATCAGCAAGAAAACTGTTGGCCATGAATTTTGACACGTGACAATGAAGATGCTAAGTACTGTGATGTACATGGAAATCACAACACCCATAAAAAATGGAAGAAAGAGATCAACATTAGTCTGATCAGTGGATGCCTGCATTCGTTTAAAACCAAAGGAACATTAAGATTAGTACAAGTACTGAATAAAACAAAAGAACGACATGGAATATTAACATCCATCTAGATTAGGTTCTATCTTAGAACAATCCTATAACATAGCATGCATGGCCATTGAGTACTTAGTTACTTACCCTACTTAAAATTCTTCCAGAAGGCGTAGTGTCAAAGAAAGACATGGGTGCATGCAGGATGCAATTAAGAATCTGAGAGAAGAAAATTTGTGCTGTCTTAAGCCCCAAAATGGTAACAGAAAAGGATCTTATGACCACCAAAACAACTGAAACTGCAGCAATAATGGCGTAGATGGAAATAAACAGAGACGGGTTAAAGATTCGAGCTTGCTCTTCTGAGGTTTCATATGCCAGCCAATAATCACCAGCCATCAAGGATGCTTGCCATAACAAAGAAATGAGAATTACTCCTATAATGCCCCACCACCCATAAGCCTCAGTACAATACAACTTATAGATATGCAAGCTCACTTTGCCAGTTTCCCTCTCTTCATCTTTGATGAGTTTAGAATTTTCCTTGCCAGCCTTGGGTTGGTCAAGTGAATCGCTATCACCATTGCTTTCTCTAAAACTAGAAGTTGGCTTTAGTGATCTCGGAGATTTGGATGGTCTAGGGGAATTTTCACCAGGCATGTCTTTGCCTTGTTCTACAAGTTCCATGGAAGTTTCATGTGCTGCTACCAAATCTCCAAAATCCATTCCAGAATTTAAGAGATCATTATACTTCCCTGATTGAACTATCATTCCATCTCTCATCACCTTTAATCAAAATATCAAAACATTATATCAGCTTGGTGTGAGAAGCCATATTCATGATATTAGTGGATTTCAATGAAGAATGCCCCAAACTAGAAGAGTTCACCACAAAAACACAAATCAGAGATGGGAAAACAAGATTAGAATTCAAGATATTATTTGCTTTTCTCCCTCTTACGGAGGAGGAAAAAATACTGTGACATGGACGGATCCTATATGATGAGTGAGATTCATCCATCTCATGTCTCTCTCCCTCTTACAGTTCAAGCTGCAAGTGAGAACTCAAACTTAACATAATATTAACACGGAGAATTTCAGTCAGTTCCTTTAAAAAAAAAAAATTACCTTAAAGTTTCCTAAAATTCTTTAATTTTTGATAGTTATCAATGAAATTGTTCAGGCGTGAGCTTATTATAATAATAGAATTGACAACTTTTTTATTAGCAAATTCAGGAATGCATTCATCACTATACTTTTGAAATTCACAAACTTCATCATAACTTGTTCACAAAAAGCTTTTGAAATGAACTACTGGTACATAAGAAAATCTCGGGAGTGCAATAACAATTCAAAATTTTAGGGGAGTTGAAAGTAAAAATACTTCTTCTTGAGAGACCTAAATGAAATTATCCCTTACTAAAAATATCCCACCGTGATTTTTTAACTTGTAATTTTTCAAAAAAATTTATTTTTTATCAGAGTTCAAGTTATAAGATTATTTTTATTTTTAATTTTGTATCTATTTAAATAATATTTTATTAAAAATAAAAATAAAATTTGGCCTTGGATCCTCAGATTGATAGGGTGTCTTAAACATGTAGAGGAAAGTGGAGATGTGATGGGGCAAGAGAGTCGACCACTAATCCAAGTCCGTAGTGATGTGTTCTTTTGCTGGACTGTGCCACAAAAGACAAAAGTATAACCAAAAAACACTCATCATTTCTAGTTTTCATGAAAAAATGGAGTGAACTTACCAGTATAAGATCAACATTATGCAAGAAGTCTACTTGGTGTGTAACAAGAATAATAGTCTTTCCTTTCAGAGCTCCCCTAACACATTCCTGTTTAAAAGTCATGCCATGATAAAATATTAACTTTGGAATCCATAATAACAGTAAGAATATTAAGAGTAAGTGATCAACAATAACACGAGTTTCAGGACACTCGCCTTGAATATTGCAGAGCCAGTATGAGCATCAACTGCACTGAAAACATCATCCAGAAGATAGATATCACAGTCTTGATATACAGCCCTAGCAAGTTGGATTCGCTGCTTCTGTCCTCCACTGAGATTGATACCACGCTCTCCAATCTCTGTCTGATCCCCATCCTCCATCATTTCCAAATCCTTGTCCAAGCAGCAGATTCTCACAACTTCATTGTACTTCTGTCTATCTAATGGTAATCCATACAGGATGTTATCCTGAATTGTCCCATTTTGAATCCATGATGTTTGAGCTACATATGCTGTACTGCCACAAACCCGGATCTGCCACACAAGCATGAATCAATCATCAATCAATACATCAAAAATATCAATACCTCTATGAAAGTTGTATGAAGCCTCATTGTTGCTAAAAAAACACAAAAAGACTGTATCTAATTGTTCCTTCTCAACAAGAAACCATACCTTCCCAGAAACTTTGTGCATCTCACCAAGAATTGATGCTAAGAGAGAAGATTTTCCAGAGCCAACAGTCCCAACAATAGCTGTAAGATCACCCTTTTTTATATTTAAATCAATATTTTTCAAGTCATAATCCCCCTTACTATCATCCTCCCAGTTAAAAATGCCATCTTTCACCTCTACAGCAGTTTGTCCATCGCACCCTTCCTCTCTCTCTACAGAATAATCTGATAATTCCTTACTCATCATGTACCTATCCAACCTCCCAAGTGATATCGTCGCTTGTGAAAGAGAGATCATTGATTGTGGAAACGTCCTAATGGGTTCTTGCAATATTTTAAAGATTGTTGTTGTGGTGAAAACTGTCCCTGCATCAAGTGGAACACCAAGCAAAATTGCTGTCCAAAACGTTAGAGTTGATATCAACAGTGGTGTGCTCCACATCACAATAATATTCCCAGAAATTGAATACAAGAACTTAGAAAGCCAGCTAAATTCTGACTCACGAAAACCCATAATCCTCTTGTTGAAATGCTCTTCCCATGCTTGAAACTTGATTACTCGCATGTAATTTAGCATCTCATTCACAGCTTTCATTCTCGAATCGCGGTTTCTCATCACATTGAACTGGAAACGGTTGTTTCTTCGAGTACCAAATATGATAAACACAAGAACCCCCACAATCCCAAATAAAGCTGTGACCACTGCAGCACCTAAGTATTTGTAAAGCAGAAATAAGGCAATTCCAACTTGAAATGGCATCATCCAGATAGCATGAAGCTGCAACATCATATCAGAAAGTTGTTGTGCATCCACAGCCATATAATTCACTATAGTTCCAACACCATGATCTTGTCGTGCGGAACAAGACAACCTTAGCCCTTTCTTGTACAATGAGGTAATGAGAGAGCATCTGATTAGCATTCCTAGCTTCTGAGAGTTGAAGTTGAAATGATGAGTAGCTAAAACTTCTATAAATTTCGCAACGAGGAGGATCAACACGAGGTAGTAGCCTTCATATACAGAGCTTCTCTTACCAGCTGTGAAATCAACGAAGCTTTGGATAAGAACTGGACCTATGAACATAACGCTGAGTCGAACGACCGCAAGGAAAGCAGTGAATGCTGCTTCCATCCAGAAGCATCGAAGCAATGTGATTAGAACAGGATGCTTCGACCTTTCTTGTGGCTTAGGCCATTTCTGTTCAAACAATACTGACATTCTTTCAGCTCTATGATCCGGGGAAAGTGTTGGGACCTCATCAATCTTCAAAGGCGACTTGTACCCTTTACTCAACAATGGATTTATCCATAGCCAAAAGGCCTTTGATGCTAAAGACGCTGACGCAAAACCAGTCACGTTTGATTGATATCAGTTTCCCCATCAATTAGCGATTGGGTTTCCTGCGTGAAGCTGATGCCAGTAGATCCTTTAATGGCAACAAGAAAGAGAAAAAGTGACGGAGGAAAGGAAATGAAACAGACAGTATCATCATTCCTAAAGTCGAAGCGTCCTTCAATTGCTTCCACAGAAACCAAACGTATAACCCCAGAAACAACCAACAGAGAAGTGAGAATGAAGTTTGCAAACCAGAAGATTCGAAGTGTAATTGGATGAGAAACAGCTTGAAACCTCTTTTCATGAATAATTAAGATTGCCAGAACCGCATGAGTCACAGCTTGAACGAACCAAAATAATCCATCAACTAGCTTCCATGGAACTCGGTTGTCTCTGATAAATACCAGAACACTCGCAACAGCGTATAGTACGGTCAAAACAACCGTCACAATAAGAGTTAGCTTAAACCACGTTGTCGTTCTGATGGAATCTCTGTTATGTCTGATAAGGGGCTTGTCAAGTTCAGAAGCTGGCTCGCCGCCGCCATTAGAGGTGAACCTAGAACAGAGCTTTTTCACGGCAAGCACGAAGAGGACGAGGATGAGGACAACATCAATGGCGGACAAGAGAGCTCTCTGAGGACATGGAGAGAGGAAGACAAATTCTAGCCACTGAGACAGGGTCGAGAGAAAAGTAGCACCTTGGGCTTGTTTCACAGGGGATGAACATGAGAGAGAAGTGACCCAAGTTTCCGAATTCATGTTGATGCTACCAGAGGAAAAAAAGAAATTCTACTCTCTGCGACGCCAACTGTTTTATTCGTTATCTTTTACATCCTCATCGCTCCTTGTTTTTTCTGCGCCAAAAACGAAAAAAGAAGACCGATTGATAAGAAAGACGAAGATTTTCTTAAACACACAAGAAAAATAACAAAACGAGATTTGAACAGTAAAGAGGGAAAAGCCGCGAAAAGGTAATAATAACAATAGTTGATTATTACTGCATTTTGGTTTGAGACCTTTCATAATCTTGGAAGCCCAAATCAGGTCCAGAAAAAGGTAAAGGAAAAAGGAACAGGACAACAAACAAAATGGGAGCCAATGAGCAGAAGCATTGGGACATGGACTCAAAAGAACTTGCGGTACGGAGAGGAGAGGAGAGGAGAGGAGTGAGGAGCTGCTGGGTATAAATTCTCGGAACTAGAAACCATATGAACAGAAATTTAAAAATACATTTTTCATTAATATGATGACCAAAAAAAAATCATCTAAAAAATAGGAGTCAGATGTATTGCGAGCACCCAATGGACCCAAATAAGGCGGCGTCAAAAGAGACCGATGATTGATACAGTGCTATTGCTATTGCTACATCGTCTGATCATCATGATTCAAATTCCAAAAACATAATAAAGAAGTGAGACAGTTTACGTTTGACAAGTATTGGCCACGAGTTTCTCCGGACGCCGATAGAGGGGCTCCAGGTGGGTGGGTTCCACCCCGAAGCTTTCTGCTACTCTATTTCTGAGAACCAGAAAGGGTCACACGATGGGATAGAGTGAACAGGAAGGAGGAGAATCAAAGGAAGGAGGTTCATTAATTATTTGAGTAGCTATAATTTGAATACCATGTACTTTAAAATATGAATAATTTTTCATGTATATTGTGTTACAATTTAAAATATTTTTGATTGTACACTTTAAATATAAATTAAATTTATGTTGCATATTACTCCATCTCAGTTGTTATTGTTATTATTATTATTATTATTATTATTATTATTATTATATAAAAGAAGAATAACAACTAAGTTTTAAAAAATAATTAATTCAATTTAAGTCCTAATTAATTTTAGAATATCAATAAAATCCTAACCATTTTTTTGATAATTCTGACTTTCAAATAAATTGACTTAAATACCCTTAAATTAAATTTATGATTAAATTTTAAAACATAAGTTATAAATTCATCAACTTACAAATATATTGAATTGTTAGAATAATGATTTTTATTATTTTTTAACTTTAAACATTAACATATATGTTTTCTTTTAAAATTTAAAAAATAAATTATAAATTCATTAGTTCAATATTGCAAATATAGTCAAACTTGTAAATTATATTCCTTGTTAAACTTAAAAAATAAGTTATAAATTCTTATAATAAAGTTGTAAAACTAACAAATAAGTTAAAATTAAATGACTCACTTGATATTCTGAATTTATTTAAAACTTATTTAAAAATAAGTCCTTATACTTTTATGTTGTTGTTTCAAGTTTATTAAATTTCACCCATCTATAATATTAGTCTTTATATTTTTAAATATGACAATAAAGACTTAACAGCAAGCTAATATGTGCATAAACTCTGTTATTTCTTGTATTGATTTGTTGAAGTTATGATAATTTATATAAAACAAAAAATAAAACAAAAAGAAAACAAGCAACACACTAAATCAAAATCCTTAAATATATAATGGATAAATTTTCAAAATAAAAAAACACACACAGTTAGGACAAACAAATAAAAAGATTAGTAGTTATTTTGCATATACAAATTTCAACTCATCATAATTTTTTCAGCATACCAACAAAATTAAATAGAGTTATATATACCTCAATTTATAACTTCACTAGTGAAATAAAAAAAAAATATAGCGACAGATAACAAAACCCCTTAAAAGTACAGCACCAACGGCTATATCTTGCATTCGTGTAATACTTCCTCCGCCTTACTTTATTAATCACTTTTTAGAAAAATAAAGTTATTAATCACCTTTTAAAAGAATCATTCTATAAGTCACTAAATTAATAATAATATTTTATTTTAAATAAAATATTTAAATTATTCTCAAAAGGTAAAAGAAAGAAAAATAAAAAATAATATTATATAATTTATTTATTTTGTAAAGATTATATTTGTAATTTATTAAATTTTATTTTTTTATATTTTTATTATATTAATATTGATGAAGTTAATAAAAATAATTTATAAATAAAATAAAAGGAAATAATTTCAAATGAGACATGCACCGCATAGACAAGCCTTGAGCTGGCGAACGCAAATAGTTAAAGGATAAGCTTCTCTCAAATCGTAATCAACCATCAGCCAGTTCAAATGAACAACGTGGAGAATTTGTACTCTTATTGCTTTTCCGCACACAGACAAAAAGACGTGACCACAGAACAACTTACCATTCTTAAAAAATGATGGAATTTCAATTTCAATATAAACATCAAACATATATTATTGCGATATGATGATAGAAATATGTCAGTTTTGAAAGAGACACACGCGGCATAGTTTGGCCCAGGGAAATGTATGAATATTATACATGGACATTAAATGATTTAATTCTTTTATAGAAAAATATTTTTTTATTTATTTATTTAATGTCGTTATATTTTTTGGCTAATAGGTATTTGAAGTTTTTGTTATAATATTATTCTTTTGGCAGACTATCTAGCATAATTAACGTAGAAAAATAGGAGGTGATAGAGGCCTCACGTGGGCGCGGTGATAGATATTGCCACAAACACATTATCTATGACACCATACTGATAATGAATTTCAATTCATCTATTGTTGGGGGGAATAAAAAGAATTTGAATTCATTAAATAATTTCCTTGGTTGCCATTTGAAATATACTAATTATACTATGATTGCAATTGAAATTCACAAACCACATGATTCAAGGAATCTAAGACAAATATGCCATTTTTTAAATGAATTGTTCTTAGTAAATAGAATTTACCAGAATTAAATCAAATTATTATTATTAATTATATGGACACAAATCTAATTTTTTTTTGGCTAAAATAGTTGTAACACTCCAAAGAAATTATAATAAAAATTATAGTTTTCTGGATATAATTATTTTCCAACAAAAAGTCACAGACAACAAAAAAAAATTAATTTCCCCCTTCTCTGCCTATTTTATAAATAAAAAATTAATCCAATCAAAATGTAAATCATCAATTATTTTATCATGATTTGCAAAGCTTAGTCTAAGTCAACAAATTAAATATGAACTTGTTGAGCAAGCATCACTCAATCTCAAAATATGAAAAAATATAATAAAATCGACAACTAACTGATTCACCATTATAGTTGGCAAAGAAAGAAAAAGGCTAATCCCCCCATTATAAAATATATTCACATTAAAATAATAACAACTAAATTAATTGATAATGATAAACCACCTCAGAAATTTTAAGATTCTCCCCTTTCAAATCCCCAACGGGCCCAATATATATGTATATATACTTGTATATAGTTCAAGCCGAAGACCAAAAATTATAACTGACATTTCAAAATATAAATTTGGCAATGTAATAGCAAGCAAAAGAAGTAGCAGTCAACAAAGAAACCGGGTGAAAAATTTACACGAAACTCAAATAGTAAACCCTTTTATTTTATGCTCACAAGAATTTTCCCTTGAGTTATACTCTTAAGTCTTCTAAAATAGAATGGATAAGAAATTTACATCAGTAATAATCATGATATATATAAATGTGTGTGTGTGTGTGTGTGAAAAATTTTAAAGATATTTGGGACGTATCAAATGGTTTCACTGGGAAATAGAAAAGTTTTGATGGGAGTGTGATATTTGGAGGGATATTAAAGATATTTGGATTAACAAAGGTTATCTTTCCGATTGAAGAAGCTAATTCTCCCCCTCCCCCCCCAAAAAAAACATGTAAAAAAAGTTATCTTTACATCTCTTTTTTATTTTTAAAATTTTAGTTTTATTATTAATTTTAATTTAATTATTCAAATACAGTTTCTCAATTAAGAATATAGTACTACTTTTTTCTTTTATTTTAAACATGTTTAATATCATAAAAGATTATTTAGGAAAAAGATTGACCCTCGAAAATAATACCAGTGGGCATCCAAATAATCAAAACATTATCTGTAAATAATTAAAATGTCACTTTAAAAAAATGTGAAGAACTAATAGTAAAATAAAGTTGCAATAACTCAATAGCAAATATTAAAAATTATTTCATAAAATAAAAGATAAAAGAAAATTAAAGATAGAATGTTTAAAAATCAATTAGGTAGAAAATAATAAACACATATTTTGATAGATAAACCAAAATATATAATTATAATAGAAAATAACTCAAAACTCTCTCTCTCTCTCTCTCTATATATATATATATATATGAGAGATTAGATTACACACAACTTTTCTAAATTTTAAATCATATACAAATAATTTTTTTAACTTTTAAAATTTAATAATAAACTTTTTTAAATTTCTAAATTTATGTAAATAATCTCTAACCATTAATTATATATACTTTAAATTTTATTTGTATGTATGTTTAAGTACTTAAATTTTAATTGATATACAGATGCCCTTACTAAACATTAAGTTAACTTTTAAATGTTAAAAAGTTATTTATACATAATTTAAAATTTAAGAGAGTTATATATAATTTAATTAATAATTATTCTCAAATTCTGTCACAAATATTTGCAACATCATTATTTGTCCCAAAAAGTTCGAAATAAATTTTTCAATCCCAAATATTCTTCTTTGATACGGCTTCTCAAAGCAAATATCTTGCTTTCTTGTAGCGTAAAATCGACCATCGTGCAAGAGCTTTTCAGACCCATTCCATCCAGCTTTTTTCTTTTCTGATATAACAGAATTCTCTCCGTTAACTCCACAAGTTCTCCATTCAGATTTTATTTTAACAGTTTAAACTTTAAATTAATAATTTAACCATTCAAATTGTTGGAATTCAAGAGAAAACATCAAAGAATTAATATATAATTTAAATTTTAAATTATAAATTTAAGAGTGATTTAAACTTTAAATTTTTAAAAGATACATTTTAAACTTTATACAATTAAAATTGAAATAATTTCACTCTCACCGTTAAATTTATAAAAATATCCATCAAATTGGGGCTTGAAATTAATGAACATTTGTTAAAATTTAATAGTGAAGGTGAAATTTTTCTAACCTTAGTTATTTAGAGTTCCAAATAATACGACTTTTCTTCATTAACTCAACAAATTCTTCCTTTAAATGTCATTTTTAACAGTTTAAACTTTAAATTAATAACTTAACCATCTAAATTGTTGGAATTCAATAGAAAACATTAAGATTAACATGTAATTTGAATCTTAAATTATAAATTTAGGAATAATTTAAACCCTAAACTTTCAATGATATAGTTTAATTCTAAATAATTAAAATTAAAACAATTTTACCCCTATTTTAACAAATGTCCATCAAATTGGTGTCAAAAGCAATGAAAGTTTGTCGAAATTTAATATTAAAATGAAATTGTCCTAATCTTAATTATTAAAAATTTAAAATATATTTTTTAAAATTTAAGATTCAATGCCTCCCTGAATTTATGGTCCAAAAGTTCAAATCACAAGTTAACCTAAATATCAAAACATGGCGAGACCAAACAACCTCTCCCACGTCAACTCACAGCCACACCTGACTTCCTACAGCACAAACTTATAACAAACCAGCTGCTAAATGAAATCGCATGAAGCAGAGCAGAAGCATGTAAAGTTCAATCAATCAGATTAAAACAGAAAAGTTTAAGCAAATAAGAATATAATAGTAAATCAGTTTTTCTGGGATGCAAAAGACTTAATTTATTTATATACTTTTGCATAAAAGAGAAGAAGGAGAGGAAAGAAATGATCTTACGAGCTGTGAGCGCGTGGCTTTAGAGCTGAAACAAACAAGACAGCAATTACAACCCATCAAGCAGAGCTTGATTATGAGGCTGAGGAAAAGCGAATCTGAAGATAAAAAGGAGATAACGATCATAGAAAGGAAGAGAGAAAGATTGTGGATGTTGTTGTGGGTGAAATTATCGTCATCTCTGAAACTGAGATCGTGATTCGTTCAGAGATTGTCAGGAAGATGAGAAATTTGATAGGGCAAGGGACCGGGACCGGGACCGGGATGGGGATGGACCAGTACTGGAAAGATGAGAAACAGGGTACTCAAGTTTCCAAACCAAACGACACTATGAGTTTATTTATTTAATATAATCACGAAAAGTTCATCCATCTTTTTCTTTGGTCAACATCTAAATCTGTCCCCTGCGCCTGTCCCTCTTCCTTTGTACTTACTGACAAATTATATTATACAATAATTTAAAATTGAGTCCCACATTTTATTTTTTAAGAGAACAAAGGACGGGTTGTCAGGGACCACTGGGGCACTGACACGGGTATGATTCCACGAACTATTTTCAATAATAACAACAATTTACACTCTCTATTTATATATATATATATATATATAATTATATATCACACAATTTAAAAAAATTAATTAATTATAATAATTATATTTAAAATTAAAAAAAAAAGTTAGTGAGGATTGAATTATTAATAAATCATATATTAATTATTTTTTATTAATATAACTTATAAAAATAATTTAAAAATATATAATAAAAATTTATTAAAATAAATAATTTTATTTATAAAAATATAAATTAAAAATAATATTTTTTAATAATAGAAAATAGAAGGAGTATTATCTTAATAAACAAATAACAATTTATTATATTTCTTTTTTTCATAACGTACGGTATTTTGTGTTCATATTTTGTGCTTACAAGTATCATAAACATGTAGTGCTCGTCATGATCAACGAGAAGAGGGACTCTATTTCTTCTCTTCTTTTTTCTCCACTCCCCCCAACTCCATATAAAAGGTGGAGATGGGGAAACTAGAGAGAAAATAAGAGAGAGAAAAGGAGTGTCCCCTCTCCCCATAATCAATCTTTAATTTTATCATCATGTAATTTCTATTATTCATTTTAAAATAATTTTTAATATTTTTAATATTATATTATTAAAATAAAAACTTATAAAAAATAAGCAGATTTTAATATTAAACGTAGGTTGTGTTTTGGGCTTAACAGGAGATGAGTACTATATTATTCATTTTAGCTAATAAGATTTTGATTGTTTAGATTGAAAATTTTTTATTTTATTCTATATTTATTAAAATAAAAATTATAAATTTTTTAAATAAATTTATTTATAATCAGTTTGGTCAGACAAAATTTAATCTGGACTATCTAATTTAATATTAAAATTTTTATAATTTTATAAACTGACTATCCAAATATACATTAGACAATACAAATATAATCTGAACAATCCCATTTAATATTAAATTTTTTATAAATTAATTATGTAAATATACTCTAAATAATATAGATTTAATATTAATATTTTCATATTTTTTATAAATTTTTATTTTAGTAACACAGTATTAAAGATACTAAATAATAAATTTAAAATGAACGGTAGAAATCAATTAAGGATAAAGTTAAGGGCTCATATGAGCTCTTGATTGTGATAATATTTTTCTAGAAATCTTACTCATGGCCATGTGACACAAAGCAATTAACGTTGTTATCTTCTACTTCAAAAAAATATTCACTTATATAATTAATCATTACTTTTTACATTAAGCTTTAATATTAATTATGCATTTTTATTTAAAATTTATTACTTGCTTATATCATATATAACTAGTCATTAAGAAAAGTGACATAAAGAGAGATAAATAATACTCCTTCCATTTCCTATAAGGTGCCTCCAACTATTTTACTGGAACGAATGATACCTAACTCATTTAGTATGTCTTAAAATGAAAAGAAAAACTTTTTAACTTTACCTCGACTAAAAATGAGAAGAGAGAAATACATGATATAGGATAAGCCATAAAATTAAATTTATAATAGGGGTAAAATTAGATAAATGGTAATAAATGACAATCCATGTGTCTTATATTAATGAATAAAGAATCCTTTAGGTAATACACACACTAATAGTTAAATCCAAAGGAAAGCACTTAAAAAACCTATATAGTAATACTATAACACCAACCTAAACTGAAAAGGAAAACAAGCAACCAAATTTAAAGAAAACAAAACCAATCTAACAGTTAAGAACCAAAGTGTATCATCCTCGAATTCAAACTTTAGAATTTAAGTATTTAACAAGGGTAAAGAGGTAAGATTATGTGATTTATGAGTTAATGATGTTTTCGAATGATTGATATAGTTATTGGGTCATTAGACAGTCTTGGAGAAAGGATAAGTTGAAGTTCGAGACTAGGGCACAAAGTGAGAGGCCCAAAATGTGTGAGCCCTTTAGTGCCATTCGCCACAACGGATGCACAAAAATTTGGTTTTATTAGGTTACCGCATGTGTTCAAAGCAAAAAGAGAAATAGAAGGAAATTAGAGAGGGGCAAAAAAGGAAGCATTTGGCTCTACTATTGCATCATCCTCTGGGCTCTTTGAGAATGTTTTAAGCAAGGTTCATCTTTCGATAAGCTTCTTATTCACTCTCCTTCCTCTTTATGCAAAATTTTTGGCATTTTAAATAGTGTTGATTTTCCTTCACTTGGGTTTTGACTGAACCCATTGACTTAGATAGGGCTTTGGAGAGTTAAATCAAGTTTTTAAGCCTAGGTTTGATGATTTTATAGTGATTTGAAATTTTTGGTCAAAGTTTGGATGAACCCTAAGTGAAATTTGAAAGATTAAAAGCAATGTAGGTGGAAATGTGTACTCATCTAAGTGTTTGAATGCTAAATGAAATTAATAAAGTGTAATGTAATAGAAGTGTTAATGGCGTTAAAGTGGGATGTTGGGTATATTGGGTACCCAAAATTAGGTAAAAAGGGAGTTTATTTAAAGTTAATTGATTATTGGTGTTTAATTTTATAAATTAAATATTGATCTTGTGTTGTTGTACAAGTGGACACTTGTGAAGTTGAAAAACTACCACAATAACCCCTTTTTGTGACAAAATAATTGAGGTAACTGAATGATCTAAACTTACTATTTGTGTATTTCGATGGTTGTGTGAAATTGCAAAAAATACTCTATTATTGTTTTGAACTAGTATATTATTAGTACGTAAAATGATTAGAATTTGAAACTTTATGCAGAGTGGAATGTGCATATATATATTTGCATATTTGGAGTTTTGAAAGAGATTTATGCTAAAATCATAAGTGTATATACTTGTAAAATTATATGATTTATTATGGTAATGATTGTCATGGAATAATTCACATGTGTATGGTTATATGAATGGAAATATATTAGTGTGGTCACTATAAGAAGGTGAGAGTTCACCCTAGAGCTGTTAGGAGATATTGTATGAAATTCGTATAGTACACTAGCACCATAAAGACCCTGATGTATAGTGTAACATTCAAAAACTTTAAATATGGAAAAATTAACTAATTAAGGGATAAATTAGTTAAAAAATATGATTAATTAATTTAAATATATTTTTGGGTTGCTAATTAGCTTTTTTGGTCATATTTAGCTTTAAATTGAGTTAGGATGAAAGTCAGATCAAGTTGGATGGCATCGAGTGGAGCAAAATCAATATTTTGCTCACTGTGTTGTGAGCCGTAGCTTGTGTGGTGTGTGCTGCGGTGCACGGCATAGCAGACAGATTAAGTTTTTGAAAATCATTAGAAAAAGTCAGTTTTTGTGGTGGAAAACCTATAGCACGAAGGAAAAAACTTTAGGCACTGCTAGGGCATCATTTTGAAAGGATTTTGAAGATAAATTGAGCCTTCAAACTCTTAAGTAAGTTTCCTACCATTCTCCTCTACCTTTTCATCTCATTTTCCATGGGATTTGAAAGGGGGAGAATTTACTCTGAATAGATTAAGCCATGAGTCTATGTTTTAAAGATTTTTATTGACTCTAAAGGTTTGATTTAGGTTTATTGATCTTGGATATGTGGTAATATCAAGCTATTTTGTTGTTTGATGAAATTTGGATCAAGCCATAACTTGATCATGGGGTTTTGAAGTGTGATAGGTTGAGATATTAAGTGTTATGATGTGATAGAGTTAGAGAGAGGCTTGAAGGGATTATGTGAATAAATTGTAATCTTGACAAGCCTATTTGTTGAAAAAATGAGTAAGAAGTGGGAGAATTAGGATGTTATTGGTAGTTAATAGTGCTTGTGTTAATTAAAAATTAATATGTAGTACTTGTTGATATAGATTATGGTGTGGGAAGACTTATCTTGACACAAGAAGAAATTTAATACCACAGGTAACCCTTTTAGTAATAAAAGGATTGAGGTAACTATATAATTTGCATTATTTATTACTTTGTATAAGTTATTCTCAAGTTGTTTTTTTATGATTTGTTATGTATATATGTATAAATTTTATAAAGGTTAACTATTTTAGAAAATGAGTGGAGCATTGGTTTGTGAAATTCTATATTTTTAAAGTAAATGGTAAGATTTGTTATATTTGTTTAGAAAGTTGTTTATGCATAATCAAGTGGAGATATGTAGTGAAATATGGCATATTAGAGGGTAGGAGGTCACCCTAATGGAGTAGGGAAGATTATGTTCATATGGCATTGCTGGCACCTCGAGATGTCAGGTGTAGCACTTGTTCTCCTTAGTGCCTAAAAATGGGTATGGTGTTGGAGACTTACTCTCCTTAGTACCCAAAAGGGTGTAGAGTTGAAGAATATGCTCCTTAGCATCCGTAGGATGTGGTGTTGGAGTAATGACACCCCAATTACTTGTAATAGGGGGAATCGGTAGTCCAAAATTGGTTTAGGACACCTTGGCTGGGAGTCCTACCATGGATGGTGAACTTGGGGATCATACATGTGGTTTGGTTTCGGGAAATAGTCTACTAGTTCGGTCTAGAGTATTGGAGGACTAGATGGTTAGATATCATGCATGTAACTTGTGATGATTTTATATGGTATGTTTATTTTAAGGCTTGTTTATAACTTGGCATGTTAGTCAATAATGTAGATTATCTTAGTCACTGAGATTTTTATCTCACCCCGTAGTTATCATTTTACAGGTTCTACCGTTAAGACTGAGTAAGGGAAGGAATCGGGCAAGGATTAGCAGATTTGCTACATCACGAATAGCAATGCCCGATTTTGGTTTGAG